CACACACTTGTGCTTGCCTAGCATGTGTGAGGCTCTGAGTTCAACCGCTAGTACCACAAAAAGAAAAAAGATAAAAATAAAAGTCATCTATTTTTGATCCAGAATACCTCATTTTCATATTCAGGGTAAAATTAACAAAGACGAACATTAAAAAAACAAAAATAACCCCGTAAATATGGATAAACACTTGGACAGAATTGAAAGGAAACATAAAAGCTAAAGCTAAAGCCAGGTGTGATGCTACATGCCTGTAATCCCAGCAGCTCAAGGGGCTGAGGCAGGAGGAGCACAAGTTCAAAGCCAGCCTCAGCAACTTAGTGAAGCTCTCAGTAAATTAGTGAGACACTATCTCAAAAAAAAAAAAAAAAAAAAAAGGGCTGAGGATGTCACTTAGTAGTTAAGCATCCCTGGTTTCAATCCCCACCTACTACCAAAAAAAAAAAAAAAAAAAGGAAAAACAAAAGCTACAAAAAGTAATCAAAACAACTAAAAAGGAGGAAGAAAAGGGGAAATGTTATTAGAAGAAGAGGAAGAAGAAGGAAAGAGAGATAATGATAAGCTGTAACATATATGTGTGTGTGTGTGTGTGTGTGTGTATCAATAATTAATTTAAATGTAAATTGCCTAAAAACTCTAGTTAAAATATAGAGATGTCAGATTGGATAATCAAGTATACGCTGCCTACAAGAAACCTACATAAAGTATAGTTATCCAGATGGATTAAAAATGAAAGGACAGGAAAAGACAAATGATGCAATCATTATTCAAAAAAGATAGAATGACTATAAGACTGTCACACAAAGCAGATTTCAGAACAAGGAATATTACCTTCTATAAAAAAATCAACACATAAAAACAAGAATGCATTTTAACATGTAAGATTTGTCCCATAAATGCAACATTAGTTGAAAATTATCTGATGTAGTTCACATGCCAGGCTTCAAAGACAAAGATGATCGTGTCTAGACAGGTAGAAAAAGGACTTGATAAAATTCAACATTCATGACAAATTAGAAGAAAACTTCCTCAGTTTGATAAAGGGCATCTACAGAAACACCTATAGTTAACTTTGTTCTTAATCATTAACATTGTATTTTACCCTAAGATCATGAACAAAATAAGACTATTTCTCTCAACACTCTTATTCAGGGCCATACTGCTAGTTTTAGCCAGTCCAAAAAGACAATAAAAATAAACATATATGAAATGTATTCAGATTAAAAAGGAAAAAAAGATAAGACTATTCATAGGAATCATTAGTGTTTACATAGAAAATGTCAAGAAATCTAAAAAAACAAAAAACAAACAAAAACAGGTCTAGAATTAGTAAGTAGAGTTAACGTAATAACAGAATGAAGATTAAGATATAAAAGTATTTACTAGTTATATTCACTAACAATAATTTGGACACTAAATCTTAAAAAATATTATATACAATGACAAAAAATTAAATCTTAAGTATAAATATAACAAAATATGTTCAGAATCTGTATTATAAAATGTATAAAATAATCAAACATTAAAGAAGACCTAAATACATGAAGATGTATATAAAGTTTCATGAATTGGAAGATTTAATATAATATAGATATTAATATTTTCCAAATTAGTGTATAGATTTACACAAACTTAATAAAAATCTATGCATGAATTCATTGTAGCTACAGGAAAACTCAATCAAAAATATGTACATAAAATTAAAGGTAATATAAGTTGAGGAGTGGCACTGATAGCTGGGTCAAATGGTGGTTCCATTCTAAGTTTTCCAAGGAGTCTACATACTGCTTTCTGGATTGGCTGCACCAATTTGCAGTCCCATCAGCAATGTATGAATGTGGCCTTTCCCCCACATCCTCGCCAACACTTATTGTTGTTTGTATTCTTGATAGCTGCCATTCTGATTGGAGTGAGATGAAATGTTAGAATAGTTTTGATTTGCATTTCTCCAATTACTAGTGATGTTGAACATTTTTTTCATATATTTGTTGATCAAATGTATATCTTTTTCTGAGAAGTGTCTGTTCAGTTCTTTGGCCCATTTATTGATTGGGTTATTTGGTTTTTTGATGTTAAGGTTTTTGAGCACTTTATGTATCCTAGAGATTAGTGCTCTGATGTGCTTATGGTAAAGATTTGCTCCCATTCTGCAGGCTTTCTATTCACCCCACTGATTGTTTATTGGCGAGAAGCTTTTTAGTTTGAATTTATCCCATTTACTGATTCTTGGTTTTAATTCTTGCACTACTAGAGTTTTATTAAGAAAGTTGGGGCCTAATTCAACATGATGGAGATTTGGGCCTACTTTTTCTTCCATTAGGTGTAAGGTCCCTGGTTTAATTCCTAGGTCCTTGATCTACTTTGAGTTTTGTGCACGGTGAGAGAGAGAGGTTTAATTTCATTTTGTTACCTGTGGATTTGTAGTTTTCCCAGTATCATCTGTTGAAGAAGCTATCTTTTCTTCAATGTATGTTTTTGACACCTTGCTCTAATATAAGATAATTGAACTTATGTGGGTTAGACTCTGTATCCTCTATTCTGTACCATTGGTCTACAGGTCTATTTTGGTGCAAATACCATGCTGTTTTTTTATGATTACTCTGTAGTATAGTTTTAGGTCTGGAATAGTAATGCCACCAGCTTCACTCTTCTTGCTAAGGATTGCTTTAGCTATTCTGGGTCTCTTATTTTTCCAGATGAATTTCATGATTGATTTTTCTATTTCTATAAGGAATGCCATTGGGATTTTTATTGGGATTGCATCTGTATAGTGCTTTTGGTAGTACAGTCATTTTGACAATATTAATTCTGCCTATCCAAGAACAAGGTAGATCCTTCCATCTTCTAAGGTCTTATTTAATTTCTTTCTTTAGCATGTTGTAGTTTTCATTGTAGAGGTCTTTCACCTCTTCCATTAAATTTATTCCCAAGTTGTTGTTTTTTTTTTTTTGAGACTATTGTAAATGGGGTGGTTTTCCTAGTTTCACTTTCAGTGGATTTGTCACTGATGTACAGAAATGCCTTTGATTTATGGGTGTTGATTTTATATCCAGCTACTTTGCTGAATTCATTTATTAGTTCTAGGAGATTTCTGGTGAAAAGTTTTGGGTCTTCTAGGTATAGAATCACATTGTCTGCAAATAGTGATAATTTGAATTCTTCTTTTCCTATCTTTATCCCTTTAATTTCTTTCATCTGATTGCTCTGGCTACTTTGTGTACAATCATGACTTTAAAAATTGTGCTCTATATGTAATATGAAATTATTTGCATTATGCAATCATGTATAACAAATTAGATTTTAAAAAAGTTAAAGGGACTAGAACAGTCAAAATCATATTGAAAAAGAAGAGTTAATATAGAGGCCCCATGCTGTTCAACCTTAAGATACTCTATAGAGCTACAAGATCAGGTATTATCAGTGAAAGGATAAATGCATGAGTTAATGATAGATCATACACTCAAATGTTACCAGCTGATTTTTGACAAATATGCAAAGGCAATTAAATGGTACAAGGGAATCTTTTCTATAAATGATGCTGGAAGAACTGACATCCACTGTTTAAAAAAATAATTCTCAACCTGCATTTTGCAATATAAAAATTAAATGATACAATACAAAACAAACTAAATTTAAAATTAAAAACCATAAAAGTCTTACATGAAAACAAGAGAAAAACATATTTATGACCCTGACTTAGGAAAGAATTATTAGATATGATACCAAAATCATGACCTGAAAAAGTAAAACAATATTGGACAATTATACTTGAGGGAATACTTGGTAAAATAAAAACACCAGCCACAGACTAATAGAAAATATTTGCAAATTACCTATCAGAAAAATGACTTGAGAGCATAATATATGTAATGAACACTTAAAACCAAATAATAAAAAAACAATTATTTACAAAATAGACATAAGTCATCAGATATTGCATTAAAGAATATATAGAAAGAGGGCAAATAAACATGTGAAAAGATGTACAACATCATTACCTATTATGTAAATGCAAATTAAAAGATTATAAATATCAATGGAACTATATCCCCACAGACAGTATACAGTATAAAAATTCTCTTGATGTATCACCTTGGTATTCTTACCTTGATAACACCTGGCAACCCTGATTTTTCTCTATTTGCCTCAAATGTCACATAATTGATACACTATTATAAACTTATTAGAATGGTTTAAATAAACTGACACTATCAAGTCCTCCTAAGGTTAGAAGAAATAAGGACACTCGGACACTGTTGGTGAGTACATAAAATAGCACAGCCACTGTGGAAAACAGTGGTGTAGTTTCTTAGAAACTTAAATATACACCCAAAATATAATCTACAAAACCCACCATAGATATTTAGCCTGGTGGATTAAAGTAATAGTTACATAAAACCTATTCTTGAATGTATATAATACCATTGTTTATAATTACCCCAAAACAGGAACAATTCCTAAGTCCTATAATGAGTGAATGGATACATAGATTCATTAAGACAGCTGCACAATAAATAGTACAAAATACAAAGGACAAATTCTTGATACACACAACAAAGTGGAAGGATCTCAAATGCATTTTCATAACTATCTCAAAAAGTTATAATACAGTCAATCAACAAATATATGAAAAAATGTTGATCATCACTAGCAATTAGAGAAATACAAATCAAAACTACTCTAAGATTTCATCTCACTCCAGTCAGGATGGCAGCTATTATGAAGACAAACAACAATAATTGTTGACAGGGATGTGGGGAAAATGGTACACTCATACACTGCTAGTGGGACTGCAAATTGGTGCAACCCAATATGGAAAGCAATATGGAGATTCCTTGGAAAATTGGGAATGGAACCACCATTTGACCCAGCTATCCCTCTCCTGGGTCTATATCTGAAGGGTGTGGTAATTCTCCATGTGGGATGGCTTAAATTCAATATTTCCTCAGTTCAGCTCTGTTCCTCAACACTACTTAGAATAAAATAACAATATTCATCAATACCTCTTCAATGGCACCCGCAGAAATCCTGTGACCTGCAACATTTATGACATCATCAACTCGAGACATAACATACACATAGCCTTCCTCATCCATGTAGCCAGCATCCATGGTGTCATAGTAGCCCTGGAAACAAGAATGAACAAGTTTTATTAGCATGCACTGTTAGGTAATGCAATCATTTTTAAACTTGGTAAAACATAAAATGTAAAAGAAATAAATTTACTGTAGTATTTGACTTTTTCATAACTGGACTACAAAATTAAATTACTTTTGATTTTGAAACCTTACTAAAATCGCTTTGCTCCTCTACCAGCCTGAAATAAATTAAAGTGTTCTTATATATGTTCAAGTTAAATGTTTGAACTTAGAGTTATAAAGTTTATGAACCCAATTACATTTTTTAATGGAGAAGTAATAGCTCAATATTTCCAATATACTTTGGTATTGCAAAGTAATTCCTTGATAAAGTTCTTCTCTAATTGTATTAATTTTGAAAAGCTTTAAAGCTCAGTATGAATAATTACAAAATAGATCACTGGTTTATTAACATGTATTAGGATTGGACTCAAGCCTCAGTGAAATTTAATAGTGAAAATGAGATAAAATGTGCTACCTCAGAGTAGCAATCATAGTAGGAAGTATCAAGAAGAATAAGACATAGAAAGAAGAAATATAACTTTCTTTAAGGTCTCTGAGTTTTTTTGATACCTATGTAAAAACCCATTTGTGTTTCTTAACCTTTCTGACACTCAGTATTTTTTTTTATTTTTTATTGGTGAGGGCGGGTACTGGGGATTGAATTTAGGGGCACTCAACCACTGAGCCACATCCCCCAGGCCCTATTTTGTATTTTATTTAGAGACAGGGTCTCACTGAGTTGCTAAGCACCTCCCCATTCCTGAGGTTGGCTTTGAACTCTCTATTCTCCTGTCTCAGCCTACTGAGCTGTTGGGATTACAGGTGTTTACACCACTGAGCATAGCAAGACTCATTATTCTTATATGCTAAACGAGTGAAGGAACTCCACCTTCTAAGACAGACTTTGGCACATCATGAGCCCTCAATAGTATTATTGTAATTATAACTGTTACTATCACAAGAGGCAGCCTAGAGCAGTAATTAAGAGCGCTAATTCTGGAACCAGATGATTTTGGTTCAAATCCCAGCTCCTCCACTTCTTACCTCTGGGAACTTTGTGTGAGTTATTTAACACTTCCATTCTGGTTTGAGCCCTCAGATGAGAGGTATACGGTCAGGTAAGAAGAGTCACTTCATACAAGTTAACAATATACTGGGGTTCAAATAAAACTTTGGTGTTAAAGGCAATCACGTTAAAAACCACATGTGCATATTATTTGCCACTGTCAGGTTATAATTAATCATATCAGAACCCTGATGCTTTTTAAATGTGGCCCATCAGGTAGATAGATTGAGCTGGCTGGAGTCAACTGTACTGACAAATCTTCTCTGCCACAGTCTATCAGGGGACTGTTCAATCTTGGCTATTGAGGTCATTCCACTCTGAGATATCTTTCTAAATAAAGCTATTTTAATTCTTGTCATTTGTCTAGTTGATTAGGTAATCTGTCTTTCACACACAAATAATAAAGATAGAATACTAAATACTTGGAGACACTTTTTATAAATGAAATTCCAATTATTCATTTCCTTTTACCCAGAGCATAATGAGGACAAAGAATCACTCTCAGGGAAAGAAGGAGAAGTAAAGGAACAGCAGAGAGACCATGGGTGGGACCCTGATCTGTGTGATCAATGAAGTGCTGTTATGAACACAATGCACTTCACCGTGGCCCAGTGATGGGCAAATGACAAAACAGAAAACAGGAAGATCTTTGTTATCCAGGCTACTGGGGCGACGAATGGGCTTTGGGAATGCTGTTTCTACCCTATGTCTACATTTTTAACATGGAATTTTAAGATAAAGAGTTCATAGAATTTTCAGGAAAGAATGCTAAAAATACATAAAGGAATGGAAAAATGCAGCTTCCGTGCTAATCAAATGAATTTTACTCATATAGCCAGGTGTGCATGCGGTAAAGTAATGACATTGTATAATTTTGGTTAGTTGTTCTCAGTCTGTACAGAGGAATTCCGTGGAGGAAAATAATATAGAAAGCAAAATAGGAAAAAATTGATTTAACAAAAAGAAATTGCTGACATTGAGAGCTTAGGAAAAGCTGCTCAGAGAAACTGAGAAATTTCTATGTCCAAAGACTAATAATGCATGTAAAATTGACTTAATTAGATAATTGTAATTTGCATATTCTTCTCCCTAAAAGCTGGAGACTGGTTCAGATAACCTTTAAAAGTCACATCCATGATTCTAGAAGCATATTGATCAATTTAATAGGCAAAATTAAAGAGAAATATATAAGAAGATTAAAATATATATGTATATATATATATATTAAAATTCTTACAGGAAATTTTTCAAAGTATAAATGCTTGAATGCTTCCTGATTCTTCCAGAGTCCTGAAAAAGCCCCGGGTGGTAATGGCAACCTTATATAAAAACAGAGCATTTAAAATTATGATGAAAGTCATAAGAGCAGATTGATTAGAGCTATCATTTTTCCAGTATGATGAATAATTATAATTCAAATCCCACATTGAAATACAACCCGTAAACCTGCTGGGCAGGTTATGTCTAGTGGAAGCCTAAGTATTTGGCTATGACACAGCACTACTATTGAAGAATGACTGTTATTTGGGAAGGACATAAAAGGCTCACACATTGGGCATTCAAACTTATTAGCAATAATCACTGTTTCATAAAGAAGCATGACATCTGCAAAAATGAGCCAAAAATGCATCACTAAATTACTCTTTAATGCTTTCATCATAGGAAAATAAATTCATCTTTTTTTTTAAATACCAGGATAGCAACTGTCACCTTTACCTATCCATACAATGGAATGTTCCAGGTTAGCATCCAGTATACAATCTTATCTTCACAGTCAGTATTCTTCACACAGAATTCCCTGGGAATTCACTCTCCCTGCTCACTCTTCTATTCTTTCTTTTCATGACCATCTAGCACTATGTACTTTCTCATTCCTATGAACACATAGAAATCTTGAGCATATTGAATAGAAGGTCCTACATATTTTTTCTTTCCAGTGAATTTCCTAGAATTCTTCCTTCTTTCCTCTATAGTATCAAATAGGTGTTATGTGCATGGCTTAATTGTATCCATCTATAATTTATCTGTCATCTATGTGCACATAAATAAATGAATAAAATGTTCATCTTGGTTGCATGTAGGAAGTTTCCACTCACAAAGACAATTGTTCAAATTGTTTTCTGGGTACCAGTGGGAAATTTGAGTACTATAAAACTTGATGATTTTCAAAAATGCTCCCGTATTCATAAGATTTAAAAAAATGCTCAGTTCTGACTTCATCCTTCTGATGCTGAAAAAGTCAAGATGGTTACTGCTCACTTTAGGAGATATCAAACACCTTTCCCACAAGAAAGATTTTCAGTTCTGACAGAATAAAAGGGGAAGCAGTGCAATTGGATGGCCATCCCAGGCTTACACCTCCACAACACTGAATTTTATCTCAGCATTGTCAGGAAGAAAAGGCAGCTAGAGGTAGGAGCAGCTGCCAATGCCTTTCTGGATAATCCAGCTGATATCGCCCATTCCCACCATGGTCAGCTTGCTAGTAGTAATCCTCATTAGGGCTTTCCCTTTGCTATGTGCTTTTCTCCCCCCTGCTGCTTTTTAAAAGAAAGAGGAAATATGCTATGTTAGCATTTCCGTACCTCACATTATTACATAAATTGCATGTAAAAGCATTTTATAATCTATTAAAAAAAACTACAGAAATGCTGGTGTATTTTGCTACTGCTTCTGTTCCCTCCTTTAACTGTTCATCCTTAAATCTATTTGAAGACAGCAGGCTGAAATTGATAATCCCCCCAAATTCTTTTAGCTGATTTTACTGTGCTAATCCTAAATACCCATGTACAAATTATGAGATTGTTTTAATCAATTTGTTAATATTCTGCAAAAAAAGAGTGAAACATCACTCATTATTAAGCACCTAAGCTAAACATTAACATGACACTCACTATAAAGTCAATTTAATGGCATTTTCAGAATGCTACAGGTAAAAAAAACGAAGAAGAGAACTCTAAGAAGAAATGGCAAAACAAATGTTAATAAAAGCCAAAAGGGATAACACTAATGAATGAAACAGATGCAAAATAAACAAGATAAATCTGATAGAGATGTGCATTAATAAGAGATAATTTTAGTTACTCTTAGAAAATATATCATAATATATACTCCTTTCTATATTTCTTTGTGTCATTTTGTACAGATGCATGGGTGTGTGCATTAAAAATATCTTACTACTTATAGTACAAAGAAAATAAAAAGTAACTAAAATAATAAATAAAAGTAACCAAAATAATAAATTGTAACTGACATTCATACTGGAATGAGGATAACAGAGTGGTGGGATTGCTGATATACAGGAATGTGGATCCAAATAAATTAAGCACATAATATTGCCTTTGCTGAGATCTATAGGTATCGAAGGGCTTATTACTGAACAAACATTTCTCTCATTTTATCTACTATGAATCAAAGATGTTGGTTTACAAATGGTCACATAGTAGTATTTCCTCACATTAGAGACTCTCTCTTTTTTTCTCTCCCTCTATTTTTTTTTTTTTTTTGGAGATCACTGATTAGACAACAAGAATGTGATAATACTGAATTATCAATGTTTTTTAAAAGAAGGTAATTGTGTAATCCAATTTTTGTTCCAGGAAGAATGCTGAAATCAGTGTGAGGAATTGGATAACTGAAAGACACAGTAAAACAATAAAAACTAAATGTGGGGGATGAAGAAGAGAGATGAATTAAAGCTGACTCTAAAGCTTCCAGTCTAGATCAATAATGATACAAACACAAGGAGCTCAAAACTCAAACATAGCAAAAGCAACATTTTCAGGAGAGGTCACATATTAGAATTTGGAGAAGTAGAGAGGAGATAGATAATTTGGTTTAGATGTTGAATTTTAGGAATCTCTGGCATCATTGGTAGAACCATGAAATAAGAAGTCCATAAATCCACATCTGAGAATCAATGTGTGGTGAGCCTGGACAGTGAGATAGACATGCTCCTCAGACATAGCTGGGTAATCACAGAACTTAGAGATCAGTGGATAATTCAGATAAAGTTTATGGAAGAGAAAGGAGAAATCCAAAGTCAAACACAGTGTTCAAAAAGGATTAAAGAAAGATGACCACTGGACAAAAAGAAAAAAAAAATGAGAGATGTCTGGGAATGAGAACTTACATCACAGACACTACCAAAGTAGAGTATTAATAATGACCAAGTGCTGAACAAAGTGCAAAGTTTGTTTTCAACCTGGTTCAACAAAAGAAATGAAACTTTATAAGTAAGATACTTTGAATATTCTTATGATTGCCATTTCAGGCAAGTAGAGCAAGCAACAGCTGGAGTACCTAGAGGCAGTAAGTTAGATTCTACTTTTTATTAGTTTGTGGGTGACTGAAAGGAGTGATATAAGTCAGTGGTTTAATTCAGAGAGAGGGAGGTTGATGTGGGACAGGGAAGATGGGAGTAGAACTAGCTGAGAGAAAATGAAGGTGTAAAAAGGAGAAAAGAAAACAATTGAGAGAACCTTGCACTACCAGAGGCTCTTGAAATAAGTTTTTATCCCTACCCAAAATGTGGAACTGCTGGAAATGKCATATATGTATATCTCAAGGTATTTCTGAAATGCCCCCAGAAAACTGCTTTGTTATAAACAAATCCAACTGAAGGTCAGACTAGAAAGTAAGACAGGATATTACAATTGGTAATTGGTAAGGCAAAATGAGGGGATGCTCTCCTGTTCCTCACTAACAAAGTGTGGTGTCTTTAAAAATTCAGATGATGTTATCTGAATATCAAAAAGGGTGTCTAAGGAGGAAACTCTGGGAAGAACCATATAAGAGAAAGAAAAGCAGAAAAGAATAAAGTTACCAAAATTGAAAGTATTTGTGATACATACATATTAAACAAGTAACATGTGAAAAAATATTTTATGCTTTTATAATGAATCTATTGTCATGTACAAATAAAAAGAACCAATAAAGAAAAAAAGGGAGAGAAAAGAAATATCCAGACAGAAGTTATGGGTGTATAAGACAAAGCAGAATTCGTTCTTTTTGCAATATTCTGAATGAACACTTTTCTCTCCATTGCTTTCTGAAGGATTATCCAACATGAAGTGCAATTCTTTCTTCTGGAATAATGGTGCACTGGGGATCTTTTTCTGAAACTAGAAAAAAAATGCTTTTTCTGAGGTTAAACATAAAAATGCACTGCACTTGCAGAAGGAATGAAAAGATAGGAAAAAAGGAAGAAATAGGGCTGGTTAATGCATATACTCATCCTTCAAAATGGAAAACAAATGCTACCATCCTGTGAAATTTTACACAACTCTTCCAAGCGAAGTGAAAAACGAGTATTTATTATAACTCCTCAAAGGGTTAATCAGTAGCTCCTGGTAGAGAATCTCCTTTCCAAAGAGATCATTCTGATGGGAGAAGAGGAATAAATGAGGCAGGTGATACTGGTGTGGGAGGGAGGTATCAGAATGCGGGGAGATCCTTCAACCACGAGGGCAGGAGGGGAATGTCCATCACTCTAGAAGGTAACACATCCCAAGCATTCTGTAGTGTAAAGCTCCCAGATGTCTCCTATTCCAGATAAAGGATGATCTATCTGTATTCACTACTGTAGCAGGAATCCCTGTAGATTCAGAAATAAATTGAAAACAAAACTCCAGTTTCCCAGAGAAATCTGGAGTTAAATTCTAACTTTGTACCCCTGGTACTTCCTACAGGGTCCTCAGGCTTTACTCGAGGTTTTCATATGAAGTTACTTTTTATCTCCGCAGAAGACACGGCCTAGGCCATCATTTCATTCTCTGTGGGCAGACAAAGGACTGGGTGATAATGTGAATTCTAACTGTGTAACTACTAATGATGCTTCCTTTCTTATGTCTGAAATGAGGATAATATCTGTCCCTTTGTCTGCCTCCAAGTGTCATTAGGAGGCTAACCAGAGATCATACTAAGATCTGTACATGAGATTTAAAAAGGAGAAGGATTATTATTATGTGACATTGTTGGTTTTACTCAAAGGATACTGGATGAAAAGAGAGATGTCCTGGCTCTTTCCCAAGATGGCAGTATGGTGACTGAATCACTGCTGTGAAGGCATAGAGATGTGAAAAAAAATATATCATTAAAAGCCAAGAGTTCAATATCTGGAGAATGAGAAATTGGCAGGCAGTTAAGTAAAAGCCACTTGGACAATTCCATACAGCTCCCTCGCACCCACCACTATCCATGGGGCACAGGTCAGCAGAACACAGCAGGGGTGAATAAGCTGCATTTCCAATAGCAACAACAGATCTGGTCAGAAACACGTACGCCCATCAGAAAGGAAGAGCCAGAGACCTATGGCTTTAATAACAGAGAGTACCGTGGTACCAAGGCAGGCAATTGTAGTTAAAATTTTCTTTCATACTCTGCTCTCTGTTGCCTGAAAATTACTGACTCATAGTTTTATTTCTGCACTTTAGAGCTCTGGATGCAATTACAGGAGCACCTTCTAAAATTCATGAGCATTTTGTATTCATAGCAACTCAGATACCATAACTTTCTCACTAAATTAACTGCTTGGAGTATGCTTCAAAATCAAAAGAATTTTTTAATGTCTATGTGGGCTTGAAGTTTTCTCTCCTGCTAGAAAGGTAAATTCTGTGAATGCAAGTAATCTTCTAAGACACTAAATACTCTTGGATCCTGTTTATCATATGCCATAGCTTACAGTAGTTTAAGAATCATTAAAATTTTTACCTTCTAGTAAAGGGTCCACAGAAAAGAAAAGAAATTATGTCTAGAATGCCACAACAAAGCAGGTGGGAAAGCTAAGCTAATCAAGAGATTTGTGGGTTTTGTTCCTGTGTTTTTTAAATAAATCATGAGGTCTAAACAAGGACCTATGTGAGCAACTCTTATTGATGTAAATATGAAAACATCCTATACATGTTGCAAACAGCCATTGGGATGCATGGGGAATTTTTATATTGAGGATTTACAGTAGAGTAGGTATTGGCAATGGGGTTATCAAAAGTGTGTCCTTTCTTTCATAGATAAAATTGATTTCCTGAAAAACAGTTCTACATTTGTTCTATTGAGGGCAGAGAGGGGAGAAAAATACCTTTTAGTAATATTTGTTTTCTGATTATTTTCCCCTTACCTTTCTAATGCAATCATATATGTAATCTTTTTAGATATTCATTTTCACCCTTAACCAATAGGAGTAACAAAATCCCAAAGCACGTCTTTATATATTGCATCCTCATAACTCATAATAAAATCTCACAACCCCAGATCTATAAAATAAAATTCCCTGCTTAGGAATACAGAGGGAAGAAAATCATTCTGAACTGGTAACAATCTAAACAATGGATTGCTTTAAGGCAACATTTGTGTTACTTTCAAGGACTTGGAATAACATAAGGCCATAAGGAAGTCATAGTTTATGTGGGATATGGCTGTATTTCAGTATCTCTGAATGGATGCAGAGCAAAATTACCCATAATTAGAGTGACAGAATCCAGGAGAGGTTCAAAACTGTGCTGGCATCAAATGCCACCTCTGGGATCTTAAAAGAGTTGCTTTATGAAATAGATGACTCATTTATAGTTAGGTTATATAACAATGTATGCAGTTAGAGTGCTTTGAAAAGCTCTCAAAACCCATGTGCTTCCTTAAGCAATTTAAATATCCACCCACAATTGTGTTCATACTATTTTCTTGAGCAAGCCCTCTACACCCACCCCTGCTATTTGTCCCCTAACAGGTCATATTTCAACTTGTTCTATGTGAAGATGGATTTTGATTTAGAGAACTATGACTACTAATGGCATATTCAATATTTAATTTTTCCCTATTTAGGATATGCTATCTTTAAATTAAAACTTTACAAAAAATAATATAGTGCCTACATTTTTACTGATAACATAAAAGTATGAGGAAGAAAATGTGCCGTAGTATGTATCTACTCTATTAACTTTTGTAAATATCTCCATGAGAAGAAAAACATTTTACTACTGCTTTTCTTGTAATTTCCACAGCACTTAAAATATTTTATTAAAGGGAGACAGTCTGTGAATGCTAAGTAATAAGAGTTCTTTTGAATTCTAAGAGAAATAAATGAGAAAACAAATCTCTTTTAAGACCTGACAAACAATGTTTCATATTTATAGCAGCTCATTCTGGTGAATGCTACTACTTAAGAAGTATCAGTAAAACCTTAAAAAATAATAATAATAAGATGAATTAATGAAAACAATCTGTGCCAATTATTTAAATGCACATATTATGTGGCTTCCAACTTAATCAACTTCCACTTCAGCTTTCACTAGTGTCAATAATTTTTTTTTTTTTGAACTGGGGATTGAACTCAGGGGCACTTACACACTGAGCCACATCCCCAGCCCTATTTTGTATTTTATTTAGAGATAAGGTCTCACTCAGTTGTTTAGCACCTTGCTTTTGCTGTGGCTGGCTTTGAACACATGATCCTCCTGCCTCGGCCTTCTGAGCCACTAGGATTACAGGCATGAGCCACTGTGTCTGGCTTGTGTTAACAATTTTAAAGTATTGATTGTAAAGTAATTTTAAATATTTCACTTCAAACATTAGCATTTTTACCTATCAATTGAACAATGATGAACAATGTTAACAAAGAATGGTGGTATTTGGTTAAGTTGGGAATTTTATACTATGTTACTCTTTGACCCCAGTAATTATACATTTAGCAATCTATTAAATACTATATCAATAATTAGAAAAGGAAAAAAAGACAAAACCAAAAGTGTATTTAATACAGTATTACTTATAATAATTCAAAGAGTGAATACAAAGATTTTTACAGGACAGAGTAAAAATTAACAATGCTTTTGAAGGGCTGAGGAGGTAGCTCAGAGGTAGAGCACTTGACTAGCATATGCAAAGTCCTGGATTCAACCCCCAGCACCCTCAAGACAAAAATGCTTCTGAGGAAGGTTTAAGAGAAAACAGTAATCTATGAAAACATATCTAATTAATTCAATTATGTAAAATGCTTGTCAAAAAGTAGACAGCCATATAGTCATATGTCACCTTATGATGTGATATGTTCTGAGAAATGTGTCCTGAGTGATGTAGATGCTATGCGAGCATCACAAAGTGCTTTTTACACACTCCTTGAAGGTATAAGTCTACTAGTTGATACAGTCTTGATTGCAGGACAAATATGAGATTTATAAGGCTACTGCCAGCATAAATTGTTATATTGCGTTACAGTAAATATTTTTTAAGTAGATGGAATATACTTTTAAAGTAATGATAAAAAGTCTAGCCTAGTAAATATACAAACCAGTAACATGTTCATATACTGATTATCAACTATAACATACTGTATATAATCTTATGTGCTATACTTTCAAAAGACTGGAAGAGCCATAGGTTTATATCAGCATGAACACAAGCTCATGAGTAACAGGTTGCCCTATGATGCCACTAAGCGATAGGAACTTTTCAGCCTCCATCCTAAACTTAAGGAAATACTACCATATATGGGGTCCCATGTTGATTGCAATGTCATTTTGCAGCACAGACCATATATTCCAAATTAACAATGAATTGCTGTTAGATACAAGTTACCTTTATAATCTACACATTATTTGTATAATCAGAAAAAAAGTTATTTTTAAAAAGTGCAAGATTTATCTTTTAAAAAATTACATGTAAATTAAAAAAATATATTTTATGGGGTTTCCATCTTTAAATTACAACAGAGTTGATATGATTCTCAAGCAGTACACAGACTCATTTTGCAACAACCTCACTTTTACTATTAATCTAATAACTCCGTTATTTTCCTTAATATAATATACCCACTTTTGCCCTTTTAAATAATAGCATTGAAGAGTTTGCTTACTTTACCACAATATTTCCTAAACATCGAGCCTTCAGTTTTTGCATGTTGTCATCCAAAATCATAACTACAAAGTAAAATATAAATAAAATTTTGAATAAAAATGTTTATAAAATAAAAATGTTTAAAGCTTAAATATTTTTTTCATATTTTTCTATATTCAACTCCCAAACTCTAGCTTAAAAAGTGATTTTTAAATCCTCTAAGACCCTGAATATATACAAATAAGTTAAAATATCTTAGAGAAATTATGGACATTTGTTTGATTCTCTATGAGATCATAAATTTTCCTTCATAATCTCCCTTAAAGACACTGTATTTCAAATTTGTTGGCATACATAAGATTTCGTAATTTTTGTTAATTTGCTTATTCCCTTCTCATCAGTTAAGAACATTTAGAATATGTTCATCTTTTCAAATTTAAAGGAAATAAAGTTTAAAATACATCAAAATAGTACACAGAATAAAAATAAAACTTTTAAAAAGCACAAAAAACCACTTATTCTGATTTAAGTCTTCATATCCACTTATGAGATTTAAATTACTTGAATTTAATCTTCTGAAATATTATCCAAATGTCTTCTGTGATATCTTGATAGAACCCTGAATGTGTTTATTCTAAGCTTGTATCCACACTCAGTACCCCTCACTGCAAACTAAAATGAAGACACATCAGTATCATCTAGACTTTAATGGGGTCTTTATGTGGTTCTGTTCACCCAGGTCATTCAACTGTAAGCAGCTATGAGAGGAGGTGGACATTGGGCCCATACATAGAAAAATGCTCCCATCTTTGTGCTCCTGGAGCACTTTGTTTATACACTATTTTGACAATTAGTAGAGTTATGAGTGTCTGTATTTCACTAGCTTGTGAGTTCACTAGAGGTAGAGGCCATGCCTAATTTATCTTTGTTTCTCAAATCTCAGGACAGTGGCAACATTGCTATATGCCCTGAGCATACTCTATTACCTCTTCAGTTTTCCTACCTATAATATAGGAGCAATTCCCTTTTTATTGTTTTGGCATAAAAATTACTAGGGGAGCGGCTTGGGAGGCTGAGTCAGGAGAATCAAGAGTTCAAAGCCACCCTCAGCAACATAGCAAAGGCCTAAGCAGCTCAGCAAGACCCTGTCTCTAAATTAAATACACAAAAGAGCTGGGGATGTGGCTCTGTGGTTAAGTATCCCTGAGTTCAATCTCTAGTACCAAAAAAAAAAAAAAGAAAAAGAAAAAGAAAAGAAAAGGAAAAAAAAAAAAAAAAACTACTGCACTAGGGAAAAGGAAAGTTAAGTGACAAGCTTGCATAAGGTACTCTATGAAGTAAAATTAAGTGTTATACCACATTTAAGGTTTTTTCTGGTACCTGGGTTATGAGAGTTTAATTGTCTGCAAGCCAGCAGCTTTCAGAGAATCAGAAACTTCTGTACTGAAGTTCTATGAGGCATCAAAGCCTCACTCTTTCTTACATGTGGATACAAAAGACATACTGAAGGGAAATGTGTCTAACACCTCCTCCATTGGTGACCCCTAAAAATGTCTCAACACAAAAGCAACTTTTCTGATAAAAGAAACAGGGATGACAGAGCTGTTCAAATGGGGGATTTCACTAAATTTGGGTTCACTTGTCTATGGCTAGAGAAGACACTGACTATATATTTATCCTGAATAAAGAGTCTAAAGTGTCTTTTTATAAATATGGCTGCCAGTTTAAACTAAATGACCTAGGTTTCCCAAAGTAGACATTGTTCGAGGAGGAAAATGCACTATTCTTATGTTAGAGAGGCAAAAGACAAATCTCTATAAATTTTGTTAAGAATATTACTGTGAGGGGTGAGGGTGTAGCTCATTCGCAGAGTACCTGCCCAGCATTCACAGAGCTCTAGGGTCAATCCCAAGTATTCTACCGTACATCATACTCTATTCCCTAAATCTGACTTTTCCTCATAAAATGTATCAAGGTACATAATGTGACCTTATGAAAATGACACAACCTTGGTGCCGCATTCTTCATTTCCTATAAAATGAATGAATGAATAAATAAAATGAATGTGAGTCAAAGTCAAATCAGTCTGGCTTCTCTGAAACATCACTAGTAATACTAGCTAAGAAATGAATACTAGCTAAGATTTGTTCCATCTTTCTATTGACCAGGCACTGTGTTAATGCTTTGCTCCATAATGTCACAATTCAGCCCCCTTAGAAAGTATATAAAAATATCATTCTTATTCAGAAATATGAAAACTAAATGTTTGAAAAGTTAGCTGTATATTTATATAGTAGGAATTGGAGCCAAGGGAAATTATTCACCTATTATGCCGATTGCTATAAATTTTAAAACAAATACAAAAATATACCTCTGTTACTTAAAGCCAGCATCAAAGAAATGTTTTCTTTTAGAATCCTCACTCGACTGATATAGTGGTGCATACCTCTAATTTCAGTGACTTGGGAGGGTGAGGCAGGAAAATTGCAAGTTTAAGGCCAGCCTCAACAGTTTAGTGAGGAGATCCTGTCTCAAAATAAAAATAAAAAGGTCCAGGCATGCAGCTTAATGGTGGAGCACCCTACATTCAATCCCCAGTACGCCCCCCCCCCAAAAAAGAACTCTTACTCATCTTATTTTCACCCAATATGATTAAAAAGCCTTCTCCTCATGCCTAAATTAAGAGTAGTATGTATTAGGAAATCAGCAGCCAATTTTGTAACAAAAGCAAGAAACAAATGAGATAAAACACAGTGGTTTACACTGTCCTGAGGAGCTAACCAGTCAAGCTATCCTAGGAAAATTATTTAGTCTCTTTGAGTATCACACTACTGATCTCTAAATGGTTACAGTGTCTCTAAAGTAAATATGCTTCAACATTAATGAAATGATGTACACAAATATTGAGCACATAGCACATGTTCCCCACAGTCATATCACACCACATTCTTCAAGTGCCTTATAAATGATATTGTTCTTTTGCTGTTACAACCATTTAGATAGAACATGTCCCTGGAAGACCATGTTACTTTTGACAGCAAAAATTAAGACATTTGAGCTGAGGTTGTAGCTCAGTGGTAGAGCTCTCGCCCAACACATGTGAGGCACTGGGTTTAATCCTCGGCATCACATAAAAACAAAATAAAGGTTATTGTATCCACCTACATCTAAAACAAATATTTTTTAAAAATTTAAGACATTCATTTTTTTTGTTTGGTACCAGGGATTGAATTCAGGGCCACTTGATTACTAAACCACATCCCCAGCCCTATTCTGTATTTTATTTAGAGACAGGGTCTCAGTGAGTTGCTTAGCACCTTGCTTTTGTTGAGGCTGGCTTTGAACTTGTGATCCTCCTGCCTCAGCCTCCTGAGCCAGTAGGATTACAGGCATCTGCTACCGTGCATTCATCCAATGAGATACCTATTAAGTACATAGAAGATTTCATAAAGTATAATATATATACTAGGAGCAGGAAAATATTTAAATTTATTAACATTACATATTTAAAGTGATTACAGTCACTTCTTACCATTGTATCCTGGAACACATTTTCCTGCTTGTCCTGGAGGAGGTGTTTTAGAGTTACCTAATCCAATGCATGATGCTGTAATTGGAGATCCAGTTTCTGAAGAAAGAAATGCAGTGTTTCAATGTGGAATTGTAATGCTGCTTCTGCATGCACATTCTAACCACTCCTAGTTTGCCTCGTACTTCACTTGCATTAGGAAGAGATGAATATTTCAAATGTATTATTTAAAAATAAAACAATACAATAATTTATAATGTTTTTATAGTTTTAAAACTTAAAGGTATAGATTTATAATAATGTATATAGTAGTGTTTCTTCTAAAGAGGAGAAAGGCTGCTCTACTATGCTTGTTGGTAGATCGAGAGCCATGAAAAATAGAAAATGCTGTGGCTGTGAAGCTTTTAAAACAAAGGTTAAAAGCCAGATCACTAGAAAGATGATTTCTCTTGACTCACCTAAGTTATTATGTATATCATTATAAATTATAGCTCAGGGCTAAACATTTCACGTTTTTGTAGCTTGTTCTCTAAATTAAATAGCCTCCTTTGTTTTTAAAATAAATGTGCGAACAATGTCATGCTTTAATTTCCTAACAACTGCACTTGCCTAAAGACCCTGCATCTCACACTGAATCTGTCAGTGCTTTAGCAACTCGTTTTGGGTCTGTTGACCCTGCATGTCTAGAAGCCCCTAGACATAGGAAGGCATATGTTCATGCTATACTAGTTCATCAAGACCATAAAGTTATAATAAGCTTACATAGACTAACAAAAGTGTTAAATTTCTTTTCTTCATCTCAAGTTAAAACAGCCAGAATAGTAGCATCTATTTCCCGATAACCATAGTTCCAAAGTGATAATTTTTAAGGAGGAATGCATTTGTTATACCTGAATACAAATTTGGAGTGTCCAGAATCTTAAGGATATAAAATGTTTATGTATGGAAGGGGAGGATAAGAGGACATTGATATGAAAAGTTTGGGAACTACGGTTTTAACATTATACTCACAAACATACACAAAAATACCTGCAAGGGATTAACTGTCAAATCAATCATATACAAAGTAATCCAAAAAATTAGAAAACATTCATCTTTCTAAATATGCAGAATGTATTCCTTCTTCCATGCTGTGAACCATAATTTACCATACATTTATTTCACCTTAGAATGATGGGAAGAATTTATGACTGTTCCTTACCCTTCCAGAGTAGTTCAGTTTATTATTCACATTTAAAAATGGTGGCTCATCTGGCATTAATAACAGAAGATGGACTCTTGAACATGAAAACATAGCTCCTAAGTCACAGTCTAGTGCTTAGGATGCTAAGCTATATGCTCAATGCTAAGGCTGAGAAAGTCACCAGAACTAGATAATTCTGATGTTTTAACAGTGAGTTCACAAATAGTTTTACATCATGACAAAAATTGGGAAGTAGCCTTATGAAATAGCATTCCACAGCCAGGCAATATTTATCCCACAGCACAATCAATATTTACCCCACAGCACAATCAATATTTACCCCACAGCACAATCAAAGCACAGAAGGAAATCCACATGGTTGGAAGGGTTAACAGCATTTTCTCCTTTGTCCTATTTCATCTTATTTCTGAATGTCTAGGTATTCACCTGGGCTCTCCTTCAAAATTGATTTGAGAGACATGAGTAAGAGAGAGGACAGAAAGCAACCTTATAAGTGAAGTGTTTAAAGGTCCACAGGATGCCAAGTTCTGTTCCATACAGGATCAGAGGCTACGAGGACACATTAGGAAGGGAGATCACCCCTTCAACCTGCTTCTGTTTCTCTTCCAACCCTGGTGGAAGGTAGCTGCTAAATCAGCCTCTTTCAAAAATGTTTTTTTCCCAATTTAGTTTATGAAGAGGGGGACTCTTATTATATGAGTTTAAACTCTCTACAGTACTTGATACCAGAAGGTCTCCACTACTTGTCAACAGATGGCTCTAGTATCTACAAGTGAACCACCAGTGGCACCCACCTATGGCTCCAGTACCTACCACCTAGAGAGAGAACAAAACAAAACAAAACAAAAAACAATGAAAAATACCTCATAACAACAAAACTCAAACTTCTCCAAACTTGATTCCATCTTGTAGATTATTATACAAGATGTCAGCACTTTGTTCTTATCCCACTGGGAGAAGGTGAATGTGGAAAGGGAGAGAGAAGGAAGCTCAGTCTCAAATGGAGGAGGATACACGGACGGACGGATCAGCTAGACACTGTCACCAACCCTGCCTGGGTAGGCTGACACTTACACCTCCCCAAGATTCTTAAGTATCTTTGTATAGAGATTATTATTCTTAACCTTCAGCTGTTTTGTTAGTTTATGATTACAATACAGCTACAAAAAGTGTGTTTTTCTGTATAATGAACTTGAATCTAGATTTTAAAGGCACTGAGAAGAATGATTCATTCAGGTTACTTGAAGTAGATGAAATAAGTTTATGCTTTGAACATTCGTAATTCAAGTATCCTATTGACCTTATTTTGGAATTTATTTAGGTATTGAATCAGAGCTATTGCTCCTGAAGTACAGAAGATACCATCAGAAAAAAAAAAAAAATGGTGGTTCCTAAGACTCCAATAAGGAGTCGTCGTTAGGATAAAAGCAGGATGAGAAAGGCCATGATAGACACTTTGGTTTCTCTCTTTGTACCTCTGAACATCCTAGGATCAAAGACTGATCCATCTGCAGCACAAACATACACACATGTGGCACACATTCCTACATGTGGACCCATACCTACCCAGTCTCCCAAGCTGGCCAAGTGCGGAACAGACTTTCTGGATAGAGAAAGCCCTCAGGCTGCAGTTCTTAACTAAAATCTTAATGGCTCTCAGAGCCCCATCTCAAAGATGTTCCTAAAACATCTGCTGCACACCACCCAGGCTATAATTATCTGGCCAGCAGTTATCTAGGGAGAGAGGAAGTACAGATGTCCTGCTGTGAGTGGGAAATAGCTACATTAAACAAACCAGAATATTCTCCTTAAGGAAGAGAATTGGAAACTGCATTTGGAGCAACCTTTACAAAGATATCTAACCACACTCAGAGAAGTAAAACTAAGCAATCATAGTGGGGTAGGGAGAGGGAACATGGGAGGAATAGATGAACTCTAGACAGGGAAGAGGGGTGGGAGGGGAAGGGAGGGGATAGTGGATTAGCAATGATGGAGAAACATGATGGACATCATTATCCAAATAACATGTATGGAGACATGAATTGGTGTGAACATACTTTATATACAGAGATATGAAAAATTGTGTTCTGTATGTGTAATAAGAATTGTGATGTATTCCACTGTCATGTGTTTAAAAAATAAAAGCAATTAAAAAAAAAACTAAGCAAATCACCAGTACAATCTCTTTAGATCAGAGACAACCAGTAGGAGGATGGCAAAGAACCAATACATGTGAAGAGTGTCACACAGGCACATTTATCTCATTCATCTGCAGAGGCCAATAGAGAAACCTCATAGAATCTTTACTGCCTCACTCTGTTGCATGGTGAGTTGCCACCCAATGCAATTTTCCTTAAAACAAACAAACAAACAACAACAACAAAAAAACCACTTCTAACTGAAGGGGAAAAAAGAAAGAACTAACAGACATAATATTTCAAAAATGATTATGCTATGCACATTGCCAGGTGTTTGTTGTTGTTGTTGTTGTTCATATTATTGTATTTAATCCAACCATAAGACTATAGGGAGAAAATGAAATAATCTTTTTACATATGATAAATACTCAGACCTAGTCAAAAAAATTAAACAGTTTTTCCTAGTCCAGACTATTTCAAAGAAGTATATGAATATAACAAGCAAGTAAATCACTCCTGAAGTTGTCATGGAAAACACAGAGGGTGTGTGGGTCACCTAGACTAAGTCTCAGCAGAGGAAGAAAATTCCTTATGGCAGGGAGTGAGAACAGGCTGTCATATCTGCAAATGGAAGCAGTGGTGGTATAGTTCACTTAATTAGCAAACATTCACTTGAATAGCTGCTATTTTAAGAACTAAGGATATGAGGATACAGCAATAAACCAAAGTGACTCAAATCCTTACCCTCATGGAGTTCACATTCTAGTTGGGGAGACAAGCAATATACAATATACAAAATTAAAATATATATTAAAGAATGATAAATGCTATGAAAAAAAACTAAGGCAAAGTCAGAGTTATAAAATGTCACAAGAGGTTGCAATTTTATATTGTTTGGGCAGGAATGATCTTCCAGCTCAAGAAAGTGACCTTTGAGACAACACCTGGAAGAAGTGAGGACATGGGACAGAAATATATAGAAAGAGGGACCCTCAAAAGCAAAGTTCTCAAGGTAGGCTTTTTCCTAGAGTGTTCTAGAACAATGGGGCAACCAATGTGTTAAAGCAGAAAGTATTAATAGGAAATAAGGTCAGAGATAAAGTGAGGGGAAAAATCATTTCATAATACTGCAACAATTTTACGGCCAGATTTATTATATTTCGACTTCCAGAGAGATGAATGAGAGGAAAGGCAGAGAGATAGACCTGCATTAGCATAATGGGGTAATAGATCCTGTGACTCCCTGAACATCAGAAACCAATTCTTATGACAATTCACAAGATTGTACTTAGGACTCAGGTGGTAGATGGATTCAAATTGTATGGGTAGATGGCCCACACAAACTAAAAACAATCATTTTGTTATCTATCTACCTATGTATCTATGCATTTCTGAAAGGTAATTTGACAACACTTACAAAAAGTCCTAAAATTACATATAGTCCTAAAATCACATAATTTTAACCCAATTATTTCATCTCAAGGAATATATACAAGGATATACTTACAGTTTATATTTAGTGACAAGTATGTTCCTCATAGTATTATTTATGTTAGAGTTTAGAAGATTGTTCAAAAATAGGAAGGATTTCATATTAAGGAATAATGCAAGGCCATTCAACTACCACAGAAGACTGTCTACTGATTGAAAATAAATCTCAGAATATATTCTCTAAAAAAAATGTAGTAAAACAGATTGTACAATAAAATACTTTTTTGGTTCACAATATGTGCTGAGTCACAGTATACATCTAGGCA